CTGGCGGGCTGTTTGGGGCCCTGCCATGGGTCCTGGCCCACATCAGTTTGTGGCGGGGAGGCAAGGGCTGCTGCCACCCGGCCAGGTGAGGATAGTCTCCAGCGCTGTGAGTGTCCTCACCCCCGACGTCAGGCGGGGAAAGGAGGACTCCAGGCCTCCTGTGGCAGGATTCGAACCCAGAGGTCTCAACAGGCGTTTCAGCTCCCGGCCCTTCGCCTCTGCGTAGGCATCGCCTTCTCCGGGTGTCATGCGGAGCCTTTGCCTCGCGGCATGCGGGTGCCCTTGACACGGTGAGGCTGATTTCTCACCCTTTGCACATCCTGCTTCAGTGCTGCCTCCCTGCTAAGAGGATCAAACCCTTAAAATAGAGGTGAGAGCCCAAAACGGGAGCCCTGCTTCTATACGCAGCCCTTTTGAGGAGAGGGGAGGGGGAGAGGCTGTGCTGAAGTGAGCCCCTTGGGACTCGGGCGGGGGGGGAGCCCAGCCACATCCTGCTCTGGACTCTGGCCCTCCATGCACAGCCTCATTGCAGTGGCTCCTCTGGGGCTTTCAAAGCCCCTCCAGAGCAACCAGCTTTGGCGGGGGTGTTGGTTTTTTTCCATGAAGTCTTTGGAGCAAGTTTCTCTCCAGGAAGGGATGCACATGCGCCTGCATCTCCATAGCAACCTCGCTTGGGGGCCGTGCAGCGGGGTGCAGGGCTGGGTTAGCATCCCCTCCCGGAGGCAGCGTGCTGCCGACCCCGCCCTTCCACCCCGCCCCTCTGTGCCCGCACCCGCTCACAGCGTCCCCCTGTGTCCCGGCCCCTTGCCTAACCTCTGGCTTGTGCCTCAGCTCCTAAAGCCCCCAAACTCTCACCTTGCAGCAAAAGTGGGGAGGGAACAGGGATCCCCCACCTCCCGCCAGCCCCGCTGTCCTAGCTCACCCAATGGGGAGTTCAGTAGTCCCGAGGGTGCTCAGCTCCCTTAGGAGAGTGGATGGCAGCCAGGCACTGATGGTTTTGAGGGTGTTTTTGCAGCAGCTGCAAGCAACGT